CGTCGACATTGGCCAACCAGAAAAACCGACCGACTCGACTGATTTAATCCGTTTATATCCGTCGCCAATAAATAATATCCACGAGAAACGAACCGAAATTTTCTCGAGTAGAAAGATGATTTGTATTTTCAGTTACACGATCTTCTGAAGAAAAATCGTGCGTAGAATATCTTCTTCTTGTCTCCGTTTCGCGAAATTAAAATCAAGAGAGAGAAATAATTTGATATAGCGCTCTCGTCCACTTTAACGAACAAATTAACGAAGAAATTGTTGCGAGATAAACAGATATTTAATTCATTATATTTTAAGAAACGTATTTTTAAAAACGTGTTTTGTTTTAATCCCGAATATGTTCGTTTAATTCGATCATCTGCTTCGTTTTGATTTAACGGTATGTCGTATACATTTTTACCACTGTTCACGTATTATCTGCATCTGACAGCGGGCGTAGTGTCTGCGGTGATACTGCGTTGTGAGTTTATCGACCTCCTATATATATATATGTTACATTTGCAGCATACACGATCATAATCCTCTACACATCGCGCCGTTTGAAAATATTGACCAAAATACATTTGATACAATGTTATCGAATTCACGAAGCTTTAATCGCGATGTGGGTTCGAAGAATTAAACGAGGAATAACGATTCGGAGTGAAGCCAATCTCGATCTCGAGGTTAGATCCATCCCTTTGATCCCTTGGATCGCGATTCTCGTGCGAGAAAATTTGCTTTCGTATTTGTGGAAAATAATCGTGTGTATATATAATTATAACACGTTAAAACTGTTAATCCTCTTTTTAAAAGGGATTAATAACTAATCGATGACTCGTCAATAGATATAATTAAATTTTAATACGACGTCTCGAAACGTCTATTTTAATTTAAATCGTTATAAATAAGTTACTCAAAGTCGAGTAATTACTTCGCGTTAGAAATTTACACGTTCTACTTTTTTTCTTTTTTTTACTGCCATATTTGATTCGCAAAACTGTGTGCTAAGATTCTTTCTAATCTTTAGTTGACAATTTTTTCATTCTATAATAATTAAATGCAATGTTAATTTATAGAAGTTATTTATAAGAAATAATAATTCGAAGCATGCAGCAATGTTCGATGAATAAGAGCGCAGTATCGATTTGCGATCAACAGATTTCTCTTTATTTCTTTCTTCGATTAGCAACGTATTATTATATCAAAGGAAACACGGGAAGGAAAGGAAAAGAGAATCTTCTTCGTACGATTCTAACCTCTCCTTAACCCCTCCCTTGTTTGAATTCCTTGGTCGAGCAATCGAATTGCAGATTCGCCAAATTACTTGGAATGTCCCGAAACATGCCGGCTTCCCCCAAACCGAGCGATCATACCGTGCCAGATTGCACGTGACTCGTTCAAATTCCCTCCCTCTGGGAATTTTCGCCCGTGGATTCTGGCGTATCAGCCGGAACGACGTATCGAACCGTTAAGATAAATACCACGGCTCAAGAATGGCTGTATGTCAGACGTACAATCCTCGCTCGTTCGTTCGTTCGTTGCTTCGTCATATCGCGCCGCTATTTCCGGAATTCGCATCACGGCTCACCTGCGGTATTGCTCGTTACATCTGGCAAATGTTCGGGAAGTACTTCCCGTCACTTCGTCCGTCCCTTAATTCGAATCGGTAATTATACGAAAAGAAAATTCGCTGTTCCGTTATTCAACACCAAACCTAGCGACATTTAACGTGTTCTACAGCTATGACCATGAGCGGTCGAATGACAGAAAAACATTTGTATCTTAATATAGAAAGGGATTTTAGCCAGTTGGATTCGTGAAGTAAACGATACAGAATGTTGTGAATATTGAAAAATGGGGGGTTGTGTCTGTATCGTGTATATAGAAAAAGTCAACAAGTCATACAGTAACTTCGTATACGAAGAAATTCGAAAGGAAATTTCAAAAACGGTTATTTGTAGGTTTAATAAAACAAACGTTAACGAAAATCGACGGCTCGAACGTCATTTAGAGATTAAGACACCGTTCCTAACAGCGAAGTGGAAACATTCGTTCCTCGTTCGTTCATTATTGTTAAGGAAAAAATTGTGGCCTAGTCTCGTCGAGAGAAATATTCGGAGAAATTTCGCATTTATCCACCGGCTGTGAGGATTCGAAGAAAAGAACGGTTCGTTCGACGAAACGGAAGAAAGAAAGAGGGGAGGAAAAAAAAGAAGAAGAAGAAGAAAGAAAGAAGCAGCAGCGGGGACCAGGCGCTATATTTATGCATTTATTATTAAGCAAGTTTTATTGGCCCCGAGGGCGGGATAACGGGCGGCGAAAACAAGTGGCGGGCCACGGCGACAACTCACGGCCTGCCACTGCCAATTGCGACGATTCGTTTTATCCCGCGACATCCTCGATCCGTCCACGTCGTACGTCAAGGCATGATAAATCAGTGTCGCGTTGATGGCAAGCGCGGCTGATACCTGCCTCTCGATTCGAAAGAAAACCCCTTTCCTTTCCCTTCTTCTCTGAGGTGAGGAGAAAAAAATTGAAAATCCAGGCGAGGCGAGGTTATTACAGCGGCGAAAGATTAGGAGGCGAGGTATTAAAGCGGCGGGTAGGGTAAATTGGCAGGATAGAAAAATCCCGATGAAAAGTGGAACGCGGCGAGATGAGAGGCGGGCAAATACCAAGTGAAATTGTCCGCGTTGTTTGTTTCGGTTAATTATCGTATCGCGCTCCCTCTGTTATTCCCATCTCCCCGCGAATACTACGTTCCCCAACGTATCTTCCCTCCCCCCCTCCCCTCGAGATTAAATTAAAAACCGAGATGTATCCGATGTATCGTTTGTACGGAAGGTTGTTCGACACAAAAATTTACACCTTTCCCGTTCGATCTCGCTTTCCCAAATTCGATATACGAATACACGAATATAATATTCTTCTATCCGTTTCCACGTAACGAAAAATTTAGTCGTTCGTTGAAATGAGAATTATTCGTGGCGGATAGCGATTCCTTTCAGAAGAAATCGAAGTTTCGATTAACGACAATTAGACAAGAAGATGCAGCGAAGATTATCGATCCCCCCCTCCTGTTTCCTTATCGTCTCGAGATCCGATCTCGAGAAAAAACTCGAGGTCGAGGAAAATTGACTTTTACTTTTACGCTCGGGATCGACGTCGGTGCGCAATAAATATCGAGGGTTTGGGGGATAGGGGAGGGGCAGCGATCGAGGATCCACCCTTCTCCGACATAAATCGGCGAGGGATGTTGGACGCGAGGTAATTTGTCGCTGCTTCAAAATCGAATCTTTATGGAATTTCTTCTTTACCCGCCCTAAAATTATTCGGAACGAGGCGAAGAATGGATGGATCAACGAGGTACAAACTCGAAGAAGAAAATTGCGAGAGGAGAGATCACTCGCTCTCCTTTCTTTCGTTTCCTTCTTCCTCTTCACTCGCAATAATAATATCGGGAAAGGGCGGAGAAAGGCGGTTTTGACGGGCGATCTTCATAATTAACGAAATTTCCACGGCGTTAAAGGCGAGGGTAAATTTAAACAAGTAATAGTTGCTCGTAACAAAAAGCGCTAAGCCCTAGAATTAATGGTAAAGGGGAAGAGTTTCGAAAGTTTGCGCGGAACTTGAACCAGCCAAGGGATGAAATTCTCTTGTTTTTTTTTCTTTCTTTCTTTCACTTTTCCCCCAACCGTCGATTCGCGGGTACGCGTTCGGTTGTCTCGTTAGAGAACGTAGCGTTGTAAAGGCGACCGTTTCCTTTCTTCTCTCTCTCTCTCTCTCTCTGCTCCATGGTCGACATCGATGCTCGAAACGGCCACTCTGCAAATTTTCTCCATATACCGCGAATACTGAATTATTTGGAAAGGAAACGGAAGGGAAAACTTTTGACATTTGAAAAAAGAAGAAGAGAGAGACAACGATTTGAACGCGTTTGAAAAATTCGTGGCCGGCCGTAATTCCAACTCGTTCGACGCTACGAAAATCCTGGTTTTGAGAATGGAATACGTAAGATTCCCCGTAACGACAATTTTTGCTCCTTTTTAATTATTCTTCGCACGCGATGCTCGCATTTTTCCTCTCCAAATATATATATATATATTTGGGAGGAGGAGGAGGAGATACGATGAAAGAAAAGGAAATTATACGCGAACGTTGTTGTTTATTTCCAACAATTTTCCGCGCTTCGTTCGTTTCCGTTTCGAAAAATAGAAATACAAATAAATTACGTTTAAATCCTTTTGTTCGTTCGACGTTTCGACGGATTAATCCCGTCAAAAGGGGAAAATATGTATTTTTTAACCTAACCTCACGCCCACCAATGGTAAGTTTTAAAAAGTTTCCACCTTTTTATCCTCGCGCGAGATATCGCGTTTCAACCATTCCTTCCTTTCCCAAAATTATTAATTTTACCGTATTTTTGTCCACGCGTGAAGCGATTGTACGCGTTTTTTCGACGCACTCCTTCCCTTTCCCTATCTACAACGGTGTACCAAAGCTGATCGACAAAAAAGAGTCCGGGCGAGCCAAGATTCTCAATTTTCCGCGCAATTTATTCCATATCTCGTGGTGGAAAGTCGGTACACAGATACCGTAAAACATTCGCATAAAAAAACCTGCTCCTCCTCCTCCTCCTCCTCCTCCTGTCTTTCGAAGCAACGAATCGGTGCATTTTCGCTCGGTAACAATCCGACAACCGCAAGAAAGCCTCGAGATTTTTGTCCATTAGATATCGGGGTCCCGATCTCGCCAACCAACCAACCAACCACACACGTATACGATACGTGTATTATATATACGGTCCCCTCGAATCGCTTCGCCAACCACCGATCTCTAGACTCTCTCTTCTACCTCCTCTTCTGGAGGGGTTAAGGATGGAGAATGAATATTTCGAGGTAATGCGAGCATGGTGACGCGAGCGTTTCGCCTGTACGAAGGGCAAAAAACGAAGCGAAGGAGCGGGGGAGTAATTGCATCAACGGTGGCGATCGATGGCGAGAGGGAGGGAGGGCGCTGGCGTAAAAATGATGGCGCGGGCGTCGCATAGGGATCCGGGGAAAGTAAGTGTACAGGCGTAGCGAGCGGCGTTAACGAGTAGCATCGCTCAGCCGGAGCTTAAACCCTCGTTAGGAAGCTAACAACCGGCCATACGTCTTGTAAATCGGACCGAGCGTTCCACCGATCTGCCAATTTATGCGGTCGTCGAGTACCGATCCACCGGCTTTTCTCGAGTATAGATACTACAGTTCCGATCACAACCATCCTCCCCGTTCCCTTCCGTTGGTCGCCGATCGGTTTCTCCAAGTCGGTTGGACGATTTCGTGGCCCAAATCGGTGGAAATTTTCGAGAAAAGAAAGGAAGGGTCGATTTTCAATTATCCGTTTACGATTTAAACGATGCCCTTTCTTCCAACATTGTTATGGGAGATCGTTCTCCCGAGGATCGATCGGTTGGAATCGAGTTTGGATTGGACACGACAATCCTTCTCCTCCATTCGTAGCATCGACGATAACGGCCGTCACACGACGACGACGACGACGACGACGACGAGTCTCGTAATCTCATTTATTCGTGGACACTTTTCGAAAGAGGAGAAGAACGACGGGAGGAGTCAAAGATCGTACCTTTTAACTCGCATTTCCGATATATATATATATATATATATATATATATATCTCACGGACGTCTTTATGCGTTCTGCGTAGGCGAAGTATCGCTGTACGCCAACTCGATCGTGATCAGACTCGCGAAGGAGAACGCGTCTCGTTCCGCTCTCGTTACCTTTCTTATCCTCCCATGCAATCTTACCGATCTTTTTCAATCTTCTCCGCGATACGAATCATTGACGAAACGATAAGAGCTGTTAAAAAAAAAAATACTTGTCGCGACGAGAGAGAAGACGATCCGTTCGTGCGGTTGCACAAACGTGTAATTCGTTCATCATTTTCAAGAAGAAACGCACAACGTTGTATCGTTTATTGTATCGGTGGCTGCTGCCATGGCGGAAGGATCGAAGGTTTGCGTGACGGGTAATTAAAAAAAATTTCGTTGGCCAGAGTTTAGATTTCGTGCTTACTTGGCACGCAATTTGCAAACGGTTGCGTTGCATTATCACGATTGTGATTTTTCACACGGCGCAAAAATGCATCGCGGTTCGTGTTTTGTTTCGCCCCGATTTGTTCAAAATCACGCTAACCTGAAATTTTCTAATTTCCATTTCCATTCTCGCGTTTGATCAAACTTTTTCTACGGATTAAAGAGGAATAAACGCTTTTAACGTCTCACTCGGCTTTAATCGTCGTCCGTGAAATCCGTCGCTTCGAGAACGAACATCCTCCCCTAACTTCTTCCTCTCCTCTCTCGCCGGAAGTATCGTGATGAAAATGCACTTATTGTTTTATCAAAAAGATACCGCGAGGAGAGAGAGAGAGAGGGGTGGGGACAGGAGGAATTGGAACACGCTATATTTCTCGAAGGAACGAGAGTTTCGGCTTGTTGGAACGTGTCCCACCGTGGAACCGTGCCACCAGAAATTACATTATCGGATTGTATGTGGTGGTCGACCGAGATAACAGTAATTTCATCTTTAAATCTTTTTTCAAGATTAATTCCTTTGTACGAAATTTATATGGAATCTACATTCGTTCGTTCGTTTCCATTTCATAGATGGAAATATTAGAGAAATTGGAGAACGCGTTCGAAAACGTGGTTTCCATCCTGGTGGAAAATTCTTCGATTTTTCTTCTCTTTTTCCGTATCCCGACAGATACGTATCCGTCGATAAGAAGGATGCAAGTTTAAGAGGGATATCGATCGAGTCAAAGTGCACAACAACTGTCGTCGTGTTAACCGATGGGTTTGGGGAGAGGCGAACAAAAGCCTCTCTCCGCGCAACTCGAACTCTGTTAATTAAATACATGCAGGCCACGGCCAGGCTGGTCGGAGCCGTCGTGCCCTATAAGAATAAGAAGTGGCCGAGGAAAGGCGTCGTTTGTCGTTAATGACTCTCGTTATCGCATTTCCACCAGACTTTTTCATTATCGCCGTTAAACCTTGTCGCGTAATATCGCCATCTCGATTAAACGGAATCGAGTTTTTGCGTTTTCGCGCCGTTTTAGTTTTCCAAGAGTTAACGAGGAGACGCGTGTTATTGAACGTAAAACATACACATATATTCCTTCCTTCCTTCCTTCATTTTTTTTCAGAGAATTTTACTTTAGTCAAAAAAACGATAAAAAGCTACGATTTTTACAATCACGAAACGATCGTGTAGCAGTTTAGATCGAAATAAGTAAAAGAAGATTTAACAAAAAAAATTTTCCATCGTTGCGTTCGATTCTTTGGAAACTTGAACGACAGATACGTATATTCGTGGATATTTTCACTGATACTTTTTTTTTTTTTTGATATTCGTCGGACACGCATTCGCGGAAATCGTAAATTAAATAGAAACGCGATTATATCTATCCATCGTCCAATTTCCCATAGTGATCCCATAGATTTAGAAAAGAGCACGCGTGAGTTTAACGCGGAACACGAGCTCGAACGATATTTTTCACAAATTCGCAGTCCGGTTAATTCCCTAGTTTTTCACCAAACCCTCCCCGTCCCGTGAAACGTGGCGCGCGCTAGAATCCCGGATCAAACGCGAGAACTTCGGCCTACCGATCTATGTACACCGCGTTGTTTAAAGGGACGATAAAATATGGAGACGCTCTAAAGAATTTCAAACAAGAATTCTTTCCTCTTTTTCTTCCGAATTCAAGGTTTTATCGCGTAAATCGATCTTTCCGCCGATTCTTCCCGGATTTTCAATTCGTCGAAGTTTCTCGATGCAGATCGTCCTCTTCCAAATTAAAATTTTTTCCCAAATTTAAATCTTTCCTACGACTTTTCGCGCGTTCTCTTCCATTTCGATCTCGTAAGCTCGTAATACGAGACGATGCTTGTTGCACAGAGGAAACTTTGTTGGAGGAACTCTTTTTAAAAACGACACAACGCTGTTTCGGACGGCGCCGCGAACGAGAATTCGATGAGAAGTTACGATCGTAGAGAAAAAGAAAGTTATTTGCACTGCACCTGATATACATAAATATGTTCGCGGTGAATGGAATATCCGCAAAGTTTTTCAACAAATTTTTTTAGAATCGATCGTTTTCGAACGTTTCCCTCGTAACGTTGATAATATCCAGGTGTGTCCGCGGGATATCCGCGTCGATCGAGATAAACACTCGAAACGCAATTTTTAAACCGTACAAAACCGTCGATTGTCACCTACACTCGTCGAAAACTTCGTTGAGCGCGCAGACTCTTCTCTCGGCGGAGAACTCGATTACAATTTCTACGCACGCGAACCGAGCCATAGTTTACGCGTTTTCGTCTCTCTCTCTCTCTTTCCCTTTTTCTTCCTTTTTTTTTTCGATTCTCCCGAAAATTCGTGGATCACTTTCATTTTGACCGGTGTCGAGCGATAAATCCGATAGCACAACCGCAATTCGTATCAAACGTGGAAAAATTTTGTCTAGTTTCGATCGCTTATCAGACCCCTCCCCTCCTCTCGTGTTTGACTGACGTATCGATATATATATATATATATATATATCCTTCATCAGCGAATATACCAAGTTACCTGTCAGTTCGTCGATAGACTACTTTTCTTTCCATTTTCCTTTTCTTTTTCTTTTTTTTTACCCAGTTTTTGTAATTAGCAAGCGTTCGATCGACTTCATCCCTGAACCGAATCGAAATTTGGGATTCTTCGATCGTGAATGGATAA